CTTCCGAGATGATTTTGTGCCGCCGGCACATGGTAACGTTTCAACATCGACAAACTCATCATCATCATCTTCATCATCATCGTCGTCGTCGTCGTCGTTCTCATCGTCCTTCACATCATAGTCATAATCAGCCAAACGTTTTGGCTGAGGGCAACGTTTTTCGGCTGATCCACGACTGAGGTAGGCTGGTGGTGGCTCGTAAGCTTTAGTGATTGGTGTCGAAGTCATACTGCCAGCTGGAAAAAGGAAAAACACAACAGAATTAATTATCTGGCTTAGTAGTTTAGTAAAGAAACGTTCCGTCAGCAGAATAAATAAAGAAACATGCCCAAGACAGTAGTTCTAACACGAGTTTTTAAGCTGATGAAATAAGACTGCATATAGCACTCAAGAATGATCTGTTGGATGAATAAAACAATGTTACCCTGTCATCTTCACAGTTATTGTACAAGATTTTGCTCTATCTCCTCAGTCTAGATGCAGTCGACAGTTTTTTTGATGCTACAGAAATAATGTTTGGGACGGATATGACAAAAAAAAAAAATTATGCCCGACTTCTTCGGAAAACCTTTGTTATTGATCTGATCAGCTCATTTGCATTGCTCATGTTGAAAGGATGGACTAAAAAATTATGAATTAAGAAACTGACTCTTTTTCATTTGCACTTGTTGCACATTGCAGTACACTTGTCAGTACGCTTGAACTAATCCCTCAACAAATGAATTTACACGTCAAACAATCGAAATTTTCTTCAGCCTGTTTTTTGAATCAGCAACTGCCTTGCAGCTGCGCTACTACTTGGGCTACTCCCGATTGTCCTCCGTCTCCTATGCAAATGACTTATGACGGACCAACAAACTTTTAAGTGTGTTTTGTGTGAGTGTATGTATGTTTCTTCTCTGGCTCTTCAAACGTATGTCCTGCTTGTTCATGCACTAAAAGATTTAGATAGCAACAAAACCTTTCAAAACAAAAGGCGTCGCCGAACCACGTTTTGTGCGATTTTCGAGGCTTTTCCAATATTCAGCTATTTCCCAAAGCTTCAGCTCAGTGCCATCGATCCACTTCTCAAATGTTTTCACTTTGTCCATTCGCGCCGTCCCGTTCAACGATCGCCCTTTCACAGGTTTCTTTTTACGCAGCACTAAATCACAGCCACTAAATCACAGCCAACTTCAAAAAAAAAAACAATCCCACATTATATCTCAACAGATTACCGTGGTCCCAGATGTTATGTATGACAAAACAAAACGTCCTCCAAGCCTCAAAAAGAAAATGAGTTAAATCACATACTGAAAGAAACGTAGGAAATGCGCCCACCAACGAATAAAGCAAATTTACCTTTTTCCAGCGATCTTCCCGGTTGGTAA